TGACGATTTCATTATTATCGCATTCTATATTTTGAATTAGAAAATCTTCACTAAAGAACGTACCCACCATTCTGACAAGACCCTTGCGGTGGTTAAAGAAGGTAGGTATGTAAGCTACAAGTTTTTTGGTAATAATATCATGCCCTATTAAAGTATTAGCTATTTCATAGTTTCTAAAAATAACTTTGACCCTACTTACTCCCACAGACGTTATGTCTATTATATCTTCTTTGAATGTATTATCGGTGAGCAAAAAACCAATTTTCATCGGAAATAATCTGCCTATATTTTTATTGAGATGTTCCACAAACACATAAAAGGGACCGGAATCTCTCTTACTGTACTTGTTAGATAAATCAAATGAATTTATATCTTTTAAAACGCTATTATTATTATTATTATTATTATTATTATTATTATTATTATTATCATCTATCGGATTATTATTATTATTGGAGACATCAAATACATCCATGTTAGGATTGTTCTATACTATAAGCTAATTACGGAAAATAGTAGCAATTTTATAAACATAAATATTATATTTAGATGAGAAACACTTTCTAAACTATATAAAAAAAGTACTTATCTTTTTTGTTGGTATCGATAACGCACAAAACAGAACACACACAGTTCGCCTGCTGATACACGACTGTTTTGATGACAAAATTTAATTCCTCTTGATTTAGACATAACGAAAAGGCTTCTTTAATTGCTAATATTTCTGCACTATAAACTGACACACAATTTGGCAAACGTTTTAAAATTTGGATCTCTTTATTGGGATAATATAAAATATAATATAATAAAATATAATATAATATGAATATTTAATTTAGAATCATCGGTGTAAAGTGTTTCATAAAATTTCCATTTTGTATTTAATTCTTCATAAAAATTTGTCTTTATTAGTAAAGGGTTGTCAACGTCGAATTTACTATTAATATAACTACTAACTGGCATAATAAGAGACATATATGGATTGGACCACAGCGGTACGCCATTTGAAACTGGTAGATCATTAGTGACATCTGAAGTAGAAATAAAACTGTCAACTAATAATGGCAGTTTTTTCTTTTTCCAAAAGGACGAAGTTAAGCATAGAGTAGTTAATCTGCTTAATTTATTGATTACTGTGTAATGTTTTGATCGGTATAACAATACAAATTTATCGCTCAGAAATTTCCTTCTTAGATCCAATGGACTTTCACATGTTTCGACTTCCATAACATTCATAGGAGTGCTTGGTAAGAATACCACGCAGTCTTAGGCATTTATTTTTAATTTGTTCAATTTTCTGAAGATATGAGTTTGCTGCTGTATTATAAAAAATTGAACCATAATCTATAATTGGAGGAACCAGCATTCTATAAAACATTAGACTAACATTTGGGTCAGAGCCCCAATTATGACAACTAAAAGTTTTTATTATATTTACAGCATTTTGGGTTCTTTTCTGAACAAAATTTATATGTTCCTTCCAGTTTAATTTACTGTCTATAATAATGCCTAAAAATTTGAAGGAGGATTTATAAGCCAGGTTATATTTATGTAACTTTATATAATTTGGATGGTTATACCTTTTGAGTGTATAAGTAACTACAGCCGACTTCGATTCAGATATTGTTAAACCGTTTTCATGACTCCAACTATGAATTTTCTTCATATATTTGAATAGCTGATCATGACAATAATTAATTTGTTTGTGACTTGAGTAGATCACTACATCATCTGCGTATTGAAGAATATTTGTAGATCTTGGAATACAATTTTATATATCATACGTATAAATATTATAAAGTAAAGGGCTTAAAATACTTCCTTGGGGATCCCAAGGCCCGATTCTCGTGGACAAGATAATTCACCGTTTACTTTTAAAAATAATTTCCTATTATACAAATTATCTATATGATTTGAAATAGTTATGGGGATTCCTAACTTACATAATCTTTCACATAAAATATTTAAATTTACATTGTCATAAGCAGCTTTTATGTCTATATATAAAGCACTTGTAGATTAATTTTTTGATAAGCACAGTTGAATATCTGTTACTATATTTGCTATACTCCTGAGTTGAAATATTTTTGCGAAATCCAAATTGAGTAGATGAAAGTAAGTTGTTATTTTCTAAATAATATTCCAGTCTGAGTTTTATCATTTGTTCATACGTCTTAAATATACAAGAAGCAAGAGCAATTGGTCTATATGATTCAGCTTGATCTGATTTTTTCCCAGGTTTTAGTACAAGGATAATAATGTATTCGTACCATTCTTTAGGAATTATTATTTTTCTTGTCCATATATTAATAAATATGTTAAGAAGAGATAATTTTGCATTCTATGGTAATTTATTCAGCATAACATAGTGTATTGTATCATGACCCGGTACTGTATTTTTTGGATTTTTAAGGGAAGACAAATTTCATGATAAGAAAAGGGTTGGTTTAAATAATCGGTCACTGTTTGTTTTGCAATATTTTCTAATGATGGAGTTCTATGAACATATGGAGGAGTCAAGTTATTATGGAATTCTGTTAACCAGGTCGCACCACCACATACACGCACCACCACATACACGCACCACCACATACACGCACCACCACATACACGCACCACCACATACACGCACCACCACATACACGCACCACCACATACACGCACCACCACATACACGCACCACCACATACACGCACCACCACATACACGCACCACCACATACACGCACCACCACATACACGCACCACCACATACACGCACCACCACATACACGCACCACCACATACACGCACCACCACATACACGCACCACTACCGCACCACATACACGCACCACCACATACACGCACCACCACATACACGCACCACCACATAAACGCACCACCACATACACGCACCACCACATACACGCACCACCACACTACGCAGAGAATTGTTTCAACGCTTCTAAATAAAACGAATTCCAATCCGCTTTACTAAGATACCACTTGCGATTTGAGCATGAGTAAGTACTTTTAGGGCTTAGATTTATATTAACAGTTGTTGGAAGATGATCTGAACCATATAAATCATTTAGCGTTGACCAATTTAATAGATGTGAAATATCTGGAGAACAAATTGTTAAGTCTATAGCTGACTTATATTGGCATGAATGACCAATGAATGTAGGAGAGCCATCATTTAAATATAATAAGCTACAATTATCTAAAGCTTCTAAAAGGTTTTTGCCATAAGAATCTGTATTGGGACTACCAAAAGCGACGTAATGACAATTAAAGTCCCCTACTATTATAGTAGGTTTGGAATATGATTTTTAAAATCTCCCACTGAGATACGGAAATTTTTGTCTTAGGGGGGACGTAAAGTGACACCAGATTAATTTAAATTATTGCACCTAATTTTAACTGCCTGTTGGTTTGTATTCGGAAGGATGACGTTACTGGATAACTCTGTAAATAAAATATTCGATCTAATAAGTATGGCAGTTGTAATGGGCCTAAATCTGTACTCTTATAATAAGTATGCAATTTCTGATTTGATATATTAGTATTGATGTCATTTTTGATTGCTGCTCCATTCAATGGGTTGGGAATTAAAGAATTTGTCTGACTTACCTTGTCACTGTTGATGTTACCTATAGTCTGGGAAAAATTTGTTGAATTTTCATCTTGGTTATTTGGTGATACGATATTTTTGTTATTTTTAAAGATGTTTTGCTTAACCAATTCGGGCTTACAACATGAATATCTGGAGGTTTAGGTAGGGGTGGGGAAGGTGAACCTTCCCCGTCATCTATTTCCATTTTACCAAAATTAAAGACTCCTATAATTTTCTTCTATTTCTAACGTGAACTAAACGAAACTATTGAAAGAAACGAACTAAAGTGTCTTTTTCACCTAGAAATTAGCAAAAATTAACTCTAAACTTTTACTTCGCAGTTGACAATTATCAAATTTTTGACCGTCAAAGACTTTATATTCCAAGTGGAATGTTACTCTTAAATTTAGCTTTAACTTTACATTTATTAATGATTATTCCTGTATTTAATCACACCTTATAATAAAGTGATATTTAAACGGTTAAATCAGTAAAATTATTGATTTCTTTTTTCATTATTTTTTAAAACATATTTTTTTATGGGTGTAAAACGGGTTTGAATTTAGTGATATCAGCGTGGTAAGCGCTTACGATTGAAACAAATATGGAAACAAGTCCCGCCATTTATTCAAACCTTCTCTTTTTATTTTTCTATGTTGTAACCAGTCCGTATAAGTTGACAATTCGGCTTCCATCAAACGTCCAGAATAGATAGAATCGTTTACCTGTATTTTTCAATTTTTAAAAGTTTTAAATTACTTATGATGATCATCTATTCGACCCTAATCTGTAAGATTGACATATTTCTTTTAGAGGTCTGAAGATGGCTTTTGAGCCGAAACCGGTAGCCTGTGTTGACTTATAAATGTTAAAAAAAAATTGTATGTTACTGAATTTGAAAATTTTATTTTCGTTTATAAATATTAATATTAGATATTTATAATTACGCTAGTTTCTAATTTTTATTAGTTTCATTTTCTGTTATACTTAGTAAGCACTTTAATAATATATCTTTCAACTGGCTTTTATTTCCAAAGGTTGTTTGGGTTTCGGTTATAAGAATATATTTAAAAATATATTAGTAAAGAACCGCAAAATACGTTTAGGAACCCTCGCCCTTCCTATCTCTGTAGATAATTTGATTTGAATATCCGGTATGTAATATTTTGACATGTTAACGCAATTCTAAAATATATTGTCTTGTGCTTACTGAATACCATGTATATCGAACAGTTATTTCTTATCATCGATTTGTTTATCTAGCAATGTAGGACATTCCGTCCATTTCAACGTTAAACTTCATACCGAACTGATAGCAAATTGTTACATCAGTTGATTAGCTTTTAGTAAATATTTATATATTTTTTCCAAATTCGCCTAATTATTTTTGTTACGTGTTTGAAGGTTGTATCGGATCTCAACGATGTATATTACGAAGTTTTAAATATGGAGACCTCTGGAGAATTGGATAGAAATCTGTTGAACCTTAATTTGAATTTGTCCAGTTTGATTCAATCGCCTAGTATAACATCTATAGATACTCTTACACCAAAGGAGGAATATCTGTCGGGTGAGTAAAACAAAATATTACATCTCATTGACTAAAAAATGGATTATGCGCTTGATATACTTCATAGTTATTATATCATTGTTATGATTCATAAAAAGGTGCTAGCGAAATTATAACTTTCTTAGTTTATTGAAATGTTCACCAAAGTTTTTGTGATATAGTTTTCTCAGTAAATAATTCATTTGTATATGAATGAAGGTCATAATATCTCAAATTGATCCACCCTTATTTCTACAGGGTGCATTTTAAGTACGTTACAATATTTCTGAAAGTGGTCCTAATTTGAAAAAGTTCAAATAAACTTAGGTCCGAGAAGCTATGGATATCTATGTACTGGGTGACAATTTGACAACGAATAGCATTTAGTATTTCTTTAACTGATGCCACTGAATATTTGGCGAAACATGTCAATTTACATTGTATTACATTTAACCCCCTCACCCTCAGGGCACCTACCCCTAAAATTTGAAATAGCAAACCCCACTTATTTCGCCATTTTTGAAATTCCTATGTAATTCTAGATAAGTTACATCAATTTTTATTTTCAATAATTTTCGGAAATAATTTAGGCGCTAGTAACATAAGTAAACATAATGAGAAAATTATGCACTTATTACCTCAAATTTCTCAAATTTAAAAAAAATCATCTATAGGGCAAAATTTATAGAGAATGACATCACAAGCAACTTTTATTTGATACAATTTTCTTAAAAATTCGAATATTGCACTTTTTGTTAAATTTGTCGAATACCGACCATTTTAGGGAAATCATGTATATGACAAAAATTATATAAAATTACATCATAAGCAACTTTTATTTGACGAATTTTCTTCTCCAAGCATAAATAATTCTTAAAGTAGAAAAACGACCCTCTATAAAGTACTGCTCCGACTATGCCAAAAATCTAATCAACTCATTAGGGCAGTGGTTCTAAAACTTTTTTGGTGACGGAACCTTTTTGAAAAGCGAAATATTTGACGGAGCCCTAAACACATTTCTAAAAAAAGTCCTCCGTGCAAAATCCTCCCTGCTCTAGCTTTTTGCCAGGTCCCTCCCGTTTCTTTGCGGAGCCCCTACAACAAAATCCTCAAAATCATATCACCCTTCCTCTGGCCTCTAAAAAAAAAGAAAGGTCCTCATAACAAAATCATATACTCCGTCATCTTCCTGACTACTAAAAAAAGTCCCCAAGTCCCGTTGTAGCGATAGGTACTGCTTTTTTTTGTTATGACTATTATTTTTTTTCGCGGAGCCCCCACAAAGGCTTTGCGGAGCCCTAGGGCTCCGCGGACCACACTTTGAGTAACGCTGTAATAGAGGATGCATTAGAGGGTGGATTAAAGCTTAAGTTTGAAATTTAGTGTTTTTCTCTTTATCCGTTTTTGAGTTATCTTGGATACAGACACACAGACATTATCGCGAAAATTACTCAAAACGGATTCCAGGGATCCCAAAATCTGTCGAAAAGTCGAGGTCGAAAAAATCATGATTTCTTTATTTTCCTTCTGTAGGCAGGCAGTGGCGGCTTTTGACTTAGCACACAGGTGGTGCCAGGTCAGTATATCACGCAGGTGGCCTCTCGGTGCCACAACCAAATTTTGACCCAAAAGTCGTTAAAAAAACGCCTAGGTATTTGTATTTAAACATTAATATGCGTAATCACCATTTTTAACTGACTTCAAAAAAAGGAGGAGGTTCTCAATTCGTCGGTATATTTTTTTTATGTATGTTCTGCGATATTTCTTTAACGCGGTGTCCGATTTCAATGATTCTTTTTTATTATAAAGGGGGTATTTCAGGGGTGGTCCCATATAAATTTTATTAAGATGTGGTGATGGCATCTGCATGATTTTGAAGTCGGTTTTTTAAATTTTTAATACTTGTTACAAAATAATAAATAACAAATAAAACAAAAATGTTTGTAGGTATTCCTGGTTTTTCACACGAATAAGCTTATTTTTAAGATAATATACAATATAGTCAGCAATATATTACAGTATTTTGTAAATCCCGATAGCGTAGGGTTTGGTAAATAATTAATATGATCATGCTCAGTATTGTATTGTGTTCAAGACTTCTAGAGGAACACAATTTCAACGAAAACTTTCACATACCTACTTCGACATGACCTACTTATATTTTTTGTAAGCTGCAGACTTATTTGAAAACTTAGGAGAACTCATTTCTCTCAAGATTTTCATGAGAAATGTCATACGTCAATGTGAAAACAATATTTTTAAAGCCAGTGAGAATTAATACGATTCGTGTGGAAAATATGGACAGTCACCCTCTATTTGTAAATTTTTTAAATTTTAACTAATTTGTTAACTTGTTTTCAATTGTACTCAATGCGAATAGTGAAGGTCGTATAATTCCTTGGTCCCACATAAGCTAACTTGCTTCTGGAGATCAGATATGATTTTTTAAGGATTTATCCCACACTCACTATTCCCAACACTGGGTTATGTCACTCTGTTTGTTATCTTTCAATTGTTAATTTGTTCAAAATAACCTTATATATAAAATTTTAACTTTTGACTTAAAAGTCTTACTCAGATTTTATATTTAACCATATTTTTAAATTGTAAGTTTACTTCCACAATTTTTGTAGATAAGCACTGATGATGGCACAATGCCGAAAGCGCTTTGCATTTATTAATTAAAAAGTTTTGCACGAAATACAAGTCTTTCCTTTTGAATCTAAACTACGTGCACACAGCTGTCAACCTTTTTTGGTTATTTTAATCAATTATTTATTTTATTTAATAAAGTGATTAACAAATACTAAAACTAGGTAATGGATACAACTGCATAAACTAACTAAATACATTTGAATATTTATGGTAAATGTACATTTTTACTGCTTCCAAAATTTCTTCTGGAATTTCATTTTCTATGTCAGATAATTCAAAATCTGAATTCATATTTTTAAATTGGCGAAAACAAGTTTGACATAAACAACAAATTAAAAATCAACGAACTGTCACTTGGCAATAAATCGGAACGTTGTTACCACAGTAACGAAATCAAGACAGACTGTATTCTCAAACAGCGATCGGAAAAATGAAAAAGAGGAAACGTTAAAGCTTTTACCGGGCCCTAACGTCTACTTTTCGGTCTTGATCGGAAAAACGTTACTTTCTGGACGAAAAATTGTTCAGAAAGTGTATACTTTCTGGTCGGTCTTAAAAAATGTAATTACAGGACTGTATACAAACAGTACAAGTATCAAAATGATATTATGCAGTTTTTAAAAATGTCCTTGGTTAAATAATCGTAATTATAAGGCAATAGAATTAACAAAACCCTTCTTTTTCCATTCTGTATCTACGAAATGTTGGAAAAAACAATTAGACTTGAAGTTTTAATAGTAAAATCAGATATGAAAACAATTACATAGTATTATTTTAAGGTTGGAAGAATTTATTAATTTTTTGTAAAGCGGACCTAGTTTTCGTTTCTTGTTTATACCTTAGTATATCCGGTAAGTTATGGAGAATACGTGAACAAAATGTCAAAAATATATACAAGGTGGTTCGTAACTTATAAGTCACGAAAGAAATCGGCAAAATTAATAAAACATCCTGTAATTATGTTATAAAGGGCGAAAGATTCAGTAAGTATGAGTTATTTGGAAGCACCTCAGTGCGTCCCTTTCCCAATGAAACACCCTGTAACAGTAATAATTGTAACCATATTTTAATTGTACCTTACAGTGTGTCCATGTATTGAGTGAGTTTACAATAGGCAAAAATCTTTATTTTTAAATTTATCGAAAATTGTCATTTGTTAAAAAGATTTACTTATTGAAATAAATTATTCATTCATTTTAATAATAATTTTAGAATGACACTACAGACATTGAGCGTACTCTTCCCTTTCGGTTGGATTTGATATTTTATGAAACTTGTATTTTAATATACCTACTATAAAATTGGATTTTTGTATATTATAGCATTGATTTTATTTTAGACGGCGATGAACCCCTCTTAAGCGGAACCGGTTCAGTATCAAAAGATTGTTCTGTGGATGTGCTTGAAAGCTGGGCCGAGGTCCTTCAGAGATGGAAATCAACGAATTTCAAACAAAGGCCTAAGCAACTAGCTAGTCTAGTAAAATTGGGCATACCGGAAGCTCTCAGAGGAGAAGTTTGGCAACGATTGGCAGGCATTGACGAATCCACGCACATGATGGAAAATTATAGGTTACTTATCACAAAGGTATAATCTAAATCAAATATTTATTTTGTCTTGTCACTTGTCACTATGTAAAAAAGTTGAGATTTTGTCTTTAAACATTTTATACTGTTACGTCTCTTAATGTTTCTTAAAAAAAAATGTATTGTGACTGCATATGTTGTGCTTTTAAATAAAAAATTAGAGTGACTGATATTACCATAGAATTTTTATTTATTTGTGAAAAATTCTACAACGGTCAGAAAATTATCCTCTCCCTAAATTATATTGTTCTTTTTTCATTTAAGTCAATAACAACAAATTTATTTTATTTGAAGGAATCGAGTTGTGAGAACGTTATACAACGAGATATAGCTCGAACGTTCCCTGCTCACGACTTTTTCAAAGAAGCTGGCGGATTAGGACAGGATTCTTTGTATAGAGTGAGCAAAGCTTATGCTGTCTTCGATTCTGAAGTAGGATATTGCCAAGGATTAAGTTTTTTAGCTGCCACACTTCTTTTACATGTAAGTAGAACATAAATGAAATGATCGAAAATCTTCCCACACCAACGCCAAGTGTTCGTCTAAAATAAAAAGTCTTGACTAGCAAAATCGCGGGCCCTGACGGAGTACTACCGTCGTTCTTGAAGGCTTGCTGTGACTCTATAAATCCCACTTAGACAAATTTTCCAAAAATTATTTGATAGTGGAATATTTCCCTTTGCTTGGAAGTTTTTCTACCTTATGCCAGCTTACAAAAAAGGACATAAAAGCGTGATAAAGAATTATAGAGGTATTTTTCCATTATATTCATAATTCCAAAACTATTTAAATCCATACTAACATGAAATGTTTTACACATTTAAAAACTAAATCTCATATCAACAATATGGCTTTATCAAGGTCGCTCGACAGCAACTAATCTGGCAATTTATCAAGACTTGTTAATTTCATCAATTGAAAATGGTTACCAGCTTGACACTATCTACACCGATCTGTCAAAAGCTTTTGACAGTGTCTGTCATGAATTGCATAATTCCCTGTCATGTGATGTTTCAGTCCTTGTTTTCCTTATTTCTTAATGATGATAACTCTGCCTTACAGTCTGACCTAAATAGGTTTGTTACCTGTTGCTCTTTCTATTAATATTTCTAAATGCACAACCATGCATTTTACAAGATCCCATACTCCTACTCTTAACTGTTACAGTATTGACATCGTCGACCTAGATAGTTCTTCGACAGTTATTGATTTGGGTATTGTTTTTGATACCACAATATCTTTTAACGACCACATAAATTCCATAGTATATAAAGCCCTCAGAATGCTTGGCTTCAACAAGTACAAAAGTAATCATGACACTTTACAATAATAACCAGATGAGACATATTTTTTACGAAATTTTATTGATTTATTAACACGCCTATTCGAAAATTTTAATCATGTTTTTTTTATAACCTTCACTTTTCTGATAACCGAACAAATTTAATTTTATCAGATAGCTTTTAACATGGAGAATATGACTCGGTAGGCTTGTTTACTTATTTCTGTTCATGGCTACCTGACAAGCAGGTATGAACAGGTAAGTCAATATAGGTAACTATACCGATATGTCAACCAATAAAAATTGATATCAGAAGAGAGATAATTTTATTACGAAAATAATCGTATAGGCTTGCCTGCAAATAACTGTTCATGGAATACTAATGTTATGCTTTAAAGTTTATAATCGGAGCAATTAAATATGTGCGAGAGAGAAAGTAAAACGTGCGAAGTTTGTGTGACAGAACAAGACACGACATAGCAGCTGCGCGTGACATGTCCGTTGAATGTAACCTAATGCGCATGCTTCTTTACATGTGATTGGCAGAGAGAGTGCTTATTTGTTGAAAATTATTTTGTGACAACACGTGTTGAGTATTATTTGTAATTGGAAAATAAAAAAAATAGTAAAACATGAATAAAAGTGTTTTTATGTGGTTTTAAAAAATCCCTTCTTGATTTTGATGATAACTCATTTCGAATATGTTCTTTAAAATTGGCTTTCCGTAAAAAGCAAAACTTCAAATATGGAAGTATCCAGCTAACCAAAGAATCGCTAGATTTTGTTGGTTATCATTCCAAGTGTTATAATAAAAGGTGCAGAATTTCAAGTAATAAATATAAAGAAGAATTTGAAAATTTTGTAAAAAATCATGAAGTAAATTTTTTTTTTAAATCAAGATCTTAAATTAGCAACCTTTATGTGAAAATTTTGTTTGGGTAAAATATTTTAAATAAAGAAAAAAAAATGTTCGTTGATTTTCAAATATTTTACGTTTGTAAATATAATTTTTTTATCATGATTATGTTGATTATTTAATAATTAAAAAAAAATGTTTTGTCTGTAAATTTGTATAAAATTGCGCCCTGAAAACTGCGGTGGCTTTTAGAAAATAATTGTTTAAAACCAATTGGATTTGTTGGGAACCAAACACCTTTGAAGATAAATGACATCGTGCAAATGACGGGAAATGTAAATGAAGAAGAATTATCAGAGTCTGAAGATCTTAATGTAACTTCAGATAATTCAGATTTTGAATAATAATTACGAATTTTTCTATGTTTTTCATTTGCTTTGTAATAAACGCTTTTCATACCATAAATGTATTGAATATTATATATTTTTCCGTTATTAAATTAACATTTATTTACTTAACTTTTAGATAAAAAAAAAATATTTTTTCAAATATGTTTTTTTTGTTATTTATTCATTTATTTAATGTTTTATTTTGTATGATCATTATACAGACATGTAGAAATCATAGTAAATGTTCAATATTTCTACCTTCAGACATTACGCATGCGTCTAGACGTCGGCGCATTGAGCCACGTATTCGCTCAAATAATCCTGGAGTCTCTCTAATTACCCTGCACGCATCGATGATGCGGTTTCTTAAGTCCTCTACATCGCGAACAGGAGTACGATAAACCAAATGCTGCAAATGGCCCCAAGTAGAGAAATCGAGAGGATTGAGATCCGGGGATCGAGCGGGCCAATTCTGTGGTCCTCCTCGACCTATCCACTGATTTGCATGTTTCAGTTAAATGCTGACGTGCTACTTGACTAAAATGGGCGGGAGCCCCATCATGCATAAAAAACATATCCTTTCTGACGCCCAAAGGAACTTCCTCCAGCAGTACGGGATGCACTTCTCTTAAAAATTGGACGTATGCCTCACCATTTAATCGAGGAGGTAGAAAATGAGGCCCAATTAAATAATTACCAATAACTCCGGCCCACACGTTAAGAGAAAAGTGTTCTTGATGGTGAGTTTCGACAATAGCGTGAGGGTTTTCATCAGCCCATATGTGGTAATTATGAAAATTAATAATCTTGTCCCGAGAAAAACTACATTCGTCTGTGAATTCGATCGTCTTCAGAAAGTCACGATTTCTTCTAATCATTTCCAGCATCCAATTGCAAAATTCAAGACGGTTCGGAAAGTCTCGCGGTAACAATGCCTGTACTCGTTGTAGATGGTAAGGGTATAAGAGATGTTTCTTTAAAATTCGAAATACCGTCATATGATCAACATTTAGCTGGAAAGCAATCTTTTTAGTACTGGTAGTAGGTTGTTCTTCAATAAAATTAAGTAGTGCTTCCTCAAGCTGTGGTGTTCTTACTTCTCGATGGCGACCACAATCGTGCGTCTGGAATGCCTAATTAGTATTATTTCAATTTCAAAAATTTACAAACTGACAGCTTGATTTCAATGTAATTGTCAGTATCGCTAATAGCGGCCTACTAGATAAATTAGTTTCGTATTTTCGTTTTATGGCGATATCTATCTTGTTCATAAAATATTTTTTTGCTGCGAACTTGTTTATTTTGGGCAAAAAATGCAAGAGACATTTTTTGTTTAGAATAAAACAGGCTATCGGAAATATATTTTTAAATGGTAAACAAATAATAAGACAAAAAGTTACGTTGGAACGAAATTTTAGGGGTTGCGTTTTCCACCCCTTACAATCATGGGGTAAACCAAATAAATTACTGGCTAAGTGTCTTTTTGGTAGTAGAAAATGTCAGGTTAATTTCAATATTGTGACTTGTTTAGTGCTTATGAAAAAAATTGTTAAAAAAATTTTTTGTACCCCCTTTAAGGGGCTGTATCTTAACAAGATATGCTCCAATGAAGTTTCTTTATATGAAAGATCCTATCTTTGTTTCGATGAGGAATCACCCCCTTAAATGTTTTTCACTTATTTAGTTACACCCTGTATACCTATAACTTTAGGTATTTTATAGTAATATAATAATTATAATCGAAATACAGTTTATTATCAGCCGCTCCAAAATAATTTTCAACAACAAATAAGCACTGTCTCTGTCTTAGGTAAAAGAGCATGCGCATGGGTTACATTCAACGGACATGTCGCGCGCTGCTGCTATGTTTTGTCCTGTTCTATCACACGGACTTCGCACGTTTTACTTTAAAGCATGGCATTAGTATTCCTTGAAAAGTTGTTTGCAGGCAAGCCTATACGATTATTTTCTGAACATGAACAGTTTTCGAATGGCAAGTTTCCATAGGCGTGTTAATAATTTAATAAAATTTCGTAAAAAATATGCCTCATCTGGTTATCAGATGAGTGAAGGTCGATCTTCCACGGTCTCTTAGACGAACACGGAACCAATTAAGGACAAAGTGCGTTTATTGATCGCTTGTGCAAGAACTATAATAAATTTTGCCCTGACTGTGCTATAAAGAAACTTGTGACTCCTGAACGTCTTAAGGAGGTCCTTTCGCCACCCCTTTCGCCACCAATGTTAAATAAAAAATATTAGATTATGACTAAAATTTATTTTTTTTCTAATAGTTGAAGTCCTTATTTATCTAATGTTGAACTTTTAACTATACCTTACCGTGCAAATTTTTGAGAATTTTTTTTTTAAATGTTAGTATTTGTACAGTGTCTTACGAGAAAATAAGACCTCAACAACAATTCTCGAATTATATTATTATTTATTGATTAGATGAAGTAGAAAAAAACTAAAAATAGGGTTTTTGAAATATTTAGGTTTTGTTTTTTACAATAAAATATATAGGTTACCTTGGAATTTATTGAGAAATTAATATTAAAAAAAAAATTGAAGTTACTTAGTTGAAAATTTTTTGTGATTTTTAATATTAATTTCTCAATAAATTCCACGGTAACCTATATATTTTATTGTAAAAAACAAAACCTAAATAATAGTAAAATTAATTATAATTCGAAAATTGTTGTTGAAGTCTTACTTTCTCGTAAGATACTGTACAAACACACACATTTAAAAAAAAAATTCTCAAAAATTTGCACGGTAAGGTATAGTTAAAAGTTCACTATTAGATAAATAAGGACTTCTACTACTAGAAAAAAATTAATTTTAGTCATAATCTAATATTTTTTATTTAACATTGGTGGCGAACGGACCTCCTTAAGTTTTACTCGTATAATCCAGTGGTGTTGTAGTGTTTTTCCTTCGTATAATATTTTATATTTTTTTAACTCACTACAATTATTGTTTGTGTTGTTAGATATCCCTACTGTACTATTTAGAAATTATTTTCTGTAAATGTTACACAAATAAATAAATAAAATAATGTCATATTTGGGTTGTATTATTTGAAGGATTATATTGACATTTCTATACACAAATTTGACGTTTGACTTCTAGGCAGAAATAATTTGATCATTTATTATCATTCCTAGTTATATTGAAATATTGATAATATTTAGTAAAGTTAATACCGTAAAGTTATTGCACTTTTCACACTCTTACATTCATTTTTGTACTTTTTGAAGTTAAACGTTAATCCAATAATAAAATCAGAATTGTTAATGACAACAAAGTAAATGACAACTATTTTTATAGATCAAAGAATTAAAATGTGGTTTGTTTACAAAAATGGTAGGATTTTCTAATCTAGAGATATATATATATATATATATATATATATATATATATATATATATATATATATATATATATATATATATATATATATATATATATATATATATATAATGAACTTGAGTTATTGGGTTTGCAGCAAAACGAAATGTGTACTCTTATAAGTTTATTCCAAGCTTTCGAATGTGAATACATTCATCTTCAGGGATCTAGAATATTTATTACAGGAAAATTAAAATTAAATAATGAACAATTAATGTTTACTTACTACTTAGTGAGATTGGTTCGTGAAAAAAATGTTGTTGATAAAATTAATGATGTGATTGAAACTGTACTAGATAAACATTGACATGAACATTTTAGACGATGCATTGAAAATTTTTAAAACATTTTAAAATTATATACACTTTTTGCAACTAACTAGTTTAGTCGAAAATTAATAAAAATTTTTTGAGGTTACAATTGACCATGTGCTCTTTTCAAGTTCATGGCGCATGCGTCTGTCATTAAGTCAATTTGCCAAAAAAGAAGAAGAATTTACTTTAACTGTGTAAGACTAATGAGGTCCTACAGCCAATTATTTCAAAACGAAGGGGGTTGCATAAAGCTAATGAGACTTTATTACCAAACTACCCTTTCTTAATGGGAGGCGCACGTGTCATATACAATAGAACTGAACGACGGGTTGCTAAAAATTTAATTTTATAACTATTGATTTATGAATAAAATTATATGAAACATAGTTAAAGATTTTGTTAATGTCGACAAACATGTCTGTTTCCTGAATCCCTTATTGGTAAGTTCAATGAGTGGTCGGTTAATGGGGCCTACCACGTATTGAGACTTGTAGAGGGGGCAGTGGGGGGTTAATGAGACTCCCCATCTACAACCTCTGATTAGGAAAGAGACATACTTATCGTGCATTATGGTGGTTAGGTTGAATGTTATTGCAAATTAAATGTTATCAAATACGTTGAAGACTAATTTTTTTTTTTTTTTTTTTTTTTTTGAAATTTGATAAACAGTAAACTTATGAAAGCTTGCTTTTCTGAAAAAACTGTTTATCAAATTTCAAAATTAGTCTTCAACGTATTTGATAACATTTAATTTGCAATAACATTCAACCTAACCACCATAATGCACGATAAGTATGTCTCTTTCCTAATCAGAGGTTGTAGATGGGGAGTCTCATTAACCCCCCACTGCCCCCTCTACAAGTCTCAATACGTGGTAGGCCCCATTAACCGACCACTCATTGAACTTACCAATAAGGGATTCAGGAAACAGACATGTTTGTCGACATTAACAAAATCTTTAACTATGTTTCATATAATTTTATTCATAAATCAATAGTTATAAAATTAAATTTTTAGCAACCCGTCGTTCAGTTCTATTGTATATGACACGTGCGCCTCCCATTAAGAAAGGGTAGTTTGGTAATAAAGTCTCATTAGCTTTATGCAACCCCCTTCGTTTTGAAATAATTGGCTGTAGGACCTCATTAGTCTTACACAGTTAAAGTAAATTCTTCTTCTTTTTTGGCAAATTGACTTAATGACAGACGCATGCGCCATGAACTTGAAAAGAGCACATGGTCAATTGTAACCTCAAAAAATTTTTATTAATTTTCGACTAAACTAGTTAGTTGCAAAAAGTGTATATAATTTTAAAATGTTTTAAAAATTTTCAATGCATCGTCTAAAATGTTCATGTCAATGTTTATCTAGTACAGTTTCAATCACATCATTAATTTTATCAACAACATTTTTTTCACGAACCAATCTCACTAAGTAGTAAGTAAACATTAATTGTTCATTATTTAATTTTAATTTTCCTGTAATAAATATTCTAGATCCCTGAAGATGAATGTATTCACATTCGAAAGCTTGGAATAAACTTATAAGAGTACACATTTCGTTTTGCTGCAAACCCAATAACTCAAGTTCATTTCCTAACGAGTCAGCAAAGACTTCTTTCTTGCGTATATATATATATATATATATATATATATATATATATATATATATATATATATATATATATATATATATATATATCCATAGATAAAATGTATTATCCTGGATTTAAAATTTAACCTTTTATGAAACCCATTATATGCGGTTTATATTTATGTCAGAGGCATCAAATAGATAATTGATAAAATGTAATTATTGAAAAAAACGTTGAACATACTTTTCTCCAAGCTATAAGATTATTTATTACATTGGAAAATATTTTTAGATGCCCGAAGAACAAGCATTTTGCATCTTAGTAAAGCTAATGTATGATTACAAATTAAGAGATTTGTATAAAGATGGATTTGACAACCTGTATTTGAGATTATATCAGTTAAATAAATTAATGGAGGAACATTTAACGCCATTGTGGGTCCATTTCACAGAGCACCACATTGAGACGCATATGTTTGCATCTCAATGGTTTTTGACGTTATTTACTGCTAGGTTTCCACTATATTTCGTTTTTCACATCATCGATATTTTCTTATTACAAGGAATTGATACTCTGTTCCAAATAGCCATCGCTCTACTCATGGTAGGTTAATAATAGATGAACCATTAAGAACGTGTATATTTATTTTTTATGGTTTTTAGATGTGCAAAAAGGACCTTTTACAATTAGATTTTGAGGGTATTTTAAAGTATTTTAGAGTATCTTTGCCAAAAAAGTGCAGATCCGAGGAATCTGCAAAGCAACTGATCAAATTGGCTTGTAGCATAAAAGTAAAGAAATTAAAAAAATACGAGGCCGACTTTATAGCTTTAAAAGGTAAGTAAAATTATTTTTATTTGCAGAGTGTGTCTCCTAAATAACGGCGAGTTTAAATAAACGATTGGTATATAAAATAGCTAATTTTCAAAAATATAGATCGATTCCTTTTACTTCATTGTAGTGATTTAAACGTAACAACTACTTCATTCAAATTTGAATCAGACACATAAGAAACATTTCTGATAAATCTTTAAAGAATAACAAATTTTGAATTTTTGACATTGAAATTATCGGAATGATTCTTATAAAAAATATTTTATTTTCCTTTTAGCAATTTGTCATACAAATTGAATAAATTTGAAATGCGCTCCTCAGTGATCTTCAAATTTCTTTAGAATGAAGTTTAAAATCTTATTACGCAATTTTAATGTCCGAGACAGTAGTAAATTTATTTTTTACATTGTTGCCGTTTTCATAAAGAGTTTGGTTATCTAAGAACTCGGTGCATCACAAGAAAATTTTTGTGGAGTTTTAATTTTTGGTACTCATCTTTTTTGGATCTCTGAACATTTTCCCGTGAATTGTTTCTTTCGTAAAAATGTGTAAAAAATCGATCGTTTTAGGCTTATTAAAAAAAACTCTAATACTATACTCTTTACCTGGAAGTTGACTTAGTATGAAATTAAAGAGTATACAATTTCCTACATTTCGTGTATTGGAAGTTTTTCCCGATCAACAGTTCAACAGTTAGTCGAGCGCCGGATGTTAAAAACGGGAATTACGGTACGTCGATGTAACACGAAACGTATCTAATTTACATAGATGGGGTGACATGGTGTATCTTTATAGAGCTATAGCCTCAATTGGAATCAAATATAGAATACAAAAATTTTATTATTAATAATTTGGAACAAACAGCTTTTCATTTTTTATTTAAACAAACGTTATTATTTATGTAACACTTATATTCTGTAAATAAATATAATAGATTATTTAAATGATTAAAAAGTGGTTTTTGATTCCTATCACTTAGCGCTTTCTTGTGTAGGCGACTCAATACCTTACCATTTAGTTTTAAATTATTTATAAAAATGTTAACAATGCCGCATAACATTGAAGCAAAAAATTAATTGATTATTATACATAAACTGATCTGTTTATAATTAAATACAAATACATTTTTATTCAGTTAAATGTGTCCAAAATCTTTTACCTTTGAGTCGTCTACAAAAAGTGCGTGAGCGTAAACGCTTTGCGTCTACCTCTAGACAGCTGGGAAATTATCAATTTGGATTCAGAGGCTGCAGACCAGGCGGAAAAAGAGGCGAGCGAAATCGAACAACTCAGACAAGCGGTGCTTAGATATGAAGAAGAAAGAAAACTGATGATGGATGAAATCACGCAATTAAAGGAAATGCTTAAGAGAGAAGTTCATCAAGCTGAACAGGAGAAAGCCAACAATGCGGCCACTATCAACGATTACAAGTTAGTCAGACAGCGATTGGACACCCAATTGCATGAAGTCAAAGCGGAACTTGAAACTTTAAAGGTTTGTTTTGATTTTTAATTGTATGTATACAAGTATTCCCATTAGTGCGTAATTGCTCGATAGTTCAATTTTTCATGGACACGCAAAACTTTTTTCAAATAACATTTATATGGATTTGAGAAAGGCATACTATATAAATATTTATGGATATACAGGGTGTTACGCTTTTGCCTGGCAAATAAAAATTATAATTTTTTAACACTTTAAGTTTTAGAATGATCTGGTAATACTGTATTAGAATATTTAAAAAATATATTACAGTGTTTTTATTTATTCTTTACTAACGGGAATTGGCCCTTGTCTCATTCAAAAAAATATAAAATATGAAACTTGTATATGCTTAAAATCTATCATTAATGAAATAACTAATATTGATTAAGAGAATCGTAACATAATAATAAATATAAGTTACACATTTGCACATTTCATCACCTACCATTAAAACAATAATTTTTAAAAATATGTAAAACAGAGGTGTTGATATTACTCGACAAAACGTTTAAAAACTTTGAAAACAGAAAATTAATGCATACTTCAAACCTTTACCAGCACCGCAGCTAACTAATGTAAAATGCTTTTCAGATTTTTTTCTAAATTTTGCATAAATGATGCCCAATAAATGTTAAATTGGTTTATTCAAAAATTCAAATTCTTTATTGGTGTCAACACATCACAACATATATATTTATGACAATTTACATTTAATATACATTGCAATGTAAAACACAAGTCAAGACAAAAAAGAATATTTGATGAGAACCATATTGCGTGACTAGGACGTCTTACTGATACAAACGATGCATTCGCTATCCTGCAGGGAAACCTAGCAAATCCCACAGTACCGTTATTAGATTGATCTCTATAAAATTGGTGGCATTTATGTCTTCTAGAGAGTATGGTTCCATAGCTATGAGAGCTTTTTTAATTAAGTTGGTAGCATATTGAAAAATTTTAAACACATATAGAATCCACTCTTTTCAAAAAAAAGTAGTGTTATGTATGAGATATGAAAATATTCCTCTATTTCTTATATTAGGTTGGTGATCTATAATATATTCATGAAATAAGTATTTATTTTTAAAAACAAAGATCAAGCATTCAAAAGCATATGAACCAAAAACCGTCAAAATATTTAAATTTTTGAATTGACATCTACATGAAGTTCTTAACGCCAAATCGTTAAAAATACTGACAGTCCATTTCTGAAGGATAAAGCCCTCTTGATCCACCCCAAAATAATATGCTGTAGCACATTATTGAATAAAAATATCCAAAATAAGCAGTACTTACACTATTGAAGTTCGTGTGTTTCTTTAATTGTTTCAATGCAGAACATAGCTGAGCTTACCACAGAGTGCATTTACATGGTCAGACCATCCAATATGATCATCCATGGCTACCCCCTAAAACTTAGGAGAACTGACATACTCAATTTCTTGATTGTTTAAACATATTTCAGATGGATAGTCTTGTGTGTTTTGTCTGTGTTTAAATAAGATGCAATTTGTCTTAGACATATTTAGAATTAATGAATTTTCTGTAAATCAATTTATTAATGATGCAAAAATATTTGATGTATCTGTTCTATAATCCTTTCTTGCTATTAGAATATTAGTTATTTTGCGTAATTTGTTAATGTTGCAGAAACATTGTCTAAAACATTTGCTAAGTTATTTATGTAAAAAATAAATAGGATGGGACCAAGTACACTCCCCTGCGGGACACCAAAAGTTACTTCATTAGAACGAGAATAATATTGCTTGCCATCAACTTTCAAACATACTTTTTGAGATCTTTTAGACAGATAAGATTTAGATCAGTCATACCCATAACCACGAATACCCATTTTAAAAAGTATTTTAAGGAGTAATTGGTGGTTCACACAGTCAAAAGCATTTGATAGGTCTAAAAAGATACCATTAGCTATAAAACCATTATCCAGGTAGTCAAAAATTTTCTCCACAAAAGCAAAAATTGCAGTGGTAGTTGATTTACCCGTTTCCTATTGCACATAGCTATTTCAAATATCTTCGAGAAAGAGGACAGCATACTTATGGGCCTGTAATTATCAACTAACATAGGGTCTCCTTTTTTGAATAGAGGACTTACCACTGCAACTCTTAGCTAAATTGGAAAATAACCCCTTTTAAAAGAATGATTAATAATAAAAGATAATTGTTCTGATATATATATATATAGTTTTACATGTTTTAGAAATTTATTGCTGATTTTATCATCTCTAGAAGATAATTTATTTTTTAATTGATTAATAATTCCAACTATTTCAATAGGACAAGTATCAGATAAAAAGATTAAATTTTGACAATTATTCATTGCGTCTACGTTTAAAGAGGGAGCAAGATTATTTAATAAATTTGCAACATGAAGTAAAAAAATCATTATTATAGTTACAAACCTCATCTGGCGAATTAATGATATTGTCGTCAACTTTTATGTCACTAATGGATGTGTTATTTTGTTTGGTTTTTCCTAATTCTGAATTTACTATTGACCAAACGGTTTTTGATTTATTGTCAGATTCTCCAAGTTTTTTATCATAAATGTTCTGAAATCAGTAATTGTGAATAGTAGTTGGGTCTTTTTTTTACCAGTAATTCTAATTTTGTTCACTGGAAAATATTCATTAAAATGCCTTAGAAAAATGGTTATAAAACAATTGTACATATTGTCTACAGTGCAAGCTTCATATACCGATAACCTAGTCTCGAACCTTAACTTATTACTCATAGTTTTATAATTTGCTTTGCTGAAAATTCGCTTAACCTCCCATGTATTATTTGGTAAAATAGTTTCACTTAAAAGTGTTAATATCTGACCTTTATAATCAGATACATTTGTATTTATTACTCTAGATTCATAACTCATAGACTGAGGTACATAAATGTTATCTAAACAAGTACTTAATGTATGTGTTACTCGAGTTGGTTCGCTTATGCTAATTTGCATGTTGTAGGCATTAAGTCAATTGTTAATTAAATATTTATGATTTGAAGAATTACTTGCTTCCAACATATCTGCATTAAAATCACCTGCAACTAACACACGTTTTTCTAATAATTCGTCTAATACTTCAAGAAAGAAAATGTATGTCAGTTGTAGGAGGTTTATTATACTACACAAACAATATAAAAAATTTGATGTAATTTAATTTCTACAGCACAACACTTAAATAAATATTTTTCTGCTAAGCTATTGATATCTTCTCTTATTACTGGCATCAAGGAATTATGAGCATATAACACAACACCACCATGAGCATCCTTGTTGTTGCGGCAGAATGAAGAAACAATTTTGTAATTTTCCAAATGGTAAACATTTAAACTTTCTGATGTTTGCCAATGCTCAGTAATAATAATAAATTGGGGGTATAAATGAAAAATACCTTAGACAATGATTGTTATTGTGATTTTGTTTTTATAGCCTCAATGTTGATAATTCTTTTGTAACACTCACATTCTGGATCATTTACTTGGTGATCTACTTTAAGTGATTTCTTAAATTTAATATTTGCTTCACTGCAGTTTATTTTTGCATGATTACATGTACAATCGTTTGTTTTATGCGAACCTGCGCATTTAAAACATGTTAGTCTATTCTAACAATTTGCTGCAATATGTCCATATCTTGCATAAATAAAGAATCTGATGACTAAGAAAAGTTCTTGGACAGCACAACGTCTCCAGCCTATATTTAGTTTACCATTTTCACATATTTTATTTTTTAAAGTCACGTCACCTATACTCCTCAGTATAATATTTCCCTTATATGATTTTCCTGCTTGCTTATACTTTTTGTGGATTTTGAGATCAACTAAACCCACGTCATTTTGTTCTTTAATACTATTAGACCGTCAGATAGTAACTGATTTAGGTGCCTCAATTTCGCATACAATCCTCGAATAGGGTTGACAAGTACATCGATGTTAAGTAGAATGAAAGGAAATTTACGAGTGTCCCCTGGGTATAACATATGGAAACTTCGATTTTCCTTAACAGAAATAAAAGGTGTTTTTTGCTCATTTCCACGCAAGCCGTGTTCACTGAATGATTAATTAATAAAACTTGGCTTTGGAAAACCAAAGGCTTTAGTGTTGCAAGTGGCCAAAGAGTTTTTTTTTTTTCTCCTGGGCTCGTATATGTCTCCGAATAACATTGAAGCCTATTGGCTCATTGTGTTTTACCCCATGTTAGTTCATAACACCCACTCTGTCACCTTTGTACCTTGTACAAGTTTGTACAGATCCTTGGGTGAGTGGGTTCTATACGTTGTTGGATCAACCTGGGTTTGTCCAAAATGTGCCTGTCTTTTGCGATCTAGAGCTTTGCATTCGCACAGTATGTGTTTGGCCGTTTCTGGTTTCTTGTGACATAGTCGGCACGTGAGTTCCCCATTGTACATGCCAATTTTGTTCAAGTGTCCCTTTACTGGGGCGTGCCCAGTCAGGAACCCTGTTATCACTTTCAACTGGTTCCTATTCATAAAGAGTAGTTTTCCAGTTCTTTTGGGACATGGTCTGCCTATGAAGGCTTTTCCATGTGCTTGTTTTGGGGTGCTTCCCCAATAGTTAATATGTTGTTCCCGAATCCAGTCGTTTATGAAACCCCGAACTGTACTTTTTGGTACTCCTGGGTTTGTGTCTGGTTCCAGTGTTTCTTCTGGCCCTCTTTTTGCAAGTTCGTCAGCTTTTTCTTTGCCTTCGATCACTTGGTGACCTGGCACCCACAATAGTTTTAGTCTATTTCGGTCTGCCAGTGTTCTTAGTTCTTCGATGCATTCCCATACCAGCCTCGACGTAACTTTCTGACTCGATATGGCCTTAAGTGCCGTTTGGCTGTCTGACATTGCAAAATTGCATATACCTTGGCCTGAAATACCGAGGAATGTATTCCTATAGCATAGCTATGGTTAGTATCAGGGTTTTTGGAGAATACTCCCACCCCAGTGCCTTCCGCAGTCTTAGACCCGTCTGTATACCAGGT